AATTCAGGATCTAATGCTGGGATTACGGGTGTGAATGCTACTCCAGCCCTGGGGCAGACAGCCTGAAGACAATATAAAGGAAGGAGAGAGGACAGCCTCTGCCATTGCTGCCAATGCTCCTGCCTTTTGGTGCTTACTGTTTTTTGCCGCAGTGAGCTGCTGCTCTCTGCCTTGTGCCACTCAGCCTTGGAGCCAGCTGAGTATGGAATGAAATCTCCACTGACAGTGAGCTAAATAAATCTTTGTTTCATTCATTTTGGTGTCAGGTATTTTGTCCCAGCAATGCGAGTAAAGTAAATGAGACATTGTTTTAACAGCTCTAATTCTGGCATAAAAAAGCTGGCAAAAATCACAGTAAGGCAAACAGAAGATATCTAATAGACCAGGACATTATTTGGGGAAAAAAAAAAATAACCTACACTTCAACTCTCTGGCTACTAACTTTGCCTTAATTTATTCTCAAGTTAAAATGTCTAGCAACTTTGATCCCTGGCACCACATGCTGCACCGGCCCCACCCCTGGGTGCACTGAGCAGACCACAGAGACCATGATGGCACCTGCCAATAATCCCAACGCAGGGGAGGCTGAAAACAGGAGGATCACTATGAGTCCCAGCTGCATAGTGAGACCCTGGACCAGATACGTTAAAAAAAAAAAAAAAAAAAAAAAGTCTAGTGGCAACCAAGACAACATATACACAATACAAAGTCATAAATATGGTAAACAGAGAGTGAAAATTTATAGAATATATATATATGTATCTCCATTAATAGGTCCACAGATCTAGGAACAAAAAACACCAGCATCTTTTAAGTACTTTTCAAATATACTATTATTTTTTATTGTATTTTATTATTTTTTTGGTGGACCCGGGGATTGAACTCAGGCCCTTGTGCTTGCCATGCAAGAACTTATTCTACTGAGCTATCTCCTCAGCCCCAGTATTTTTCAAATAACAGCACACAGAAAATGTAATTTTAAAATTCTTTTCTTAGGGATAAGGAGGTAATGTTGGTACAGCATTTGCCTAGTGTGCACAGTCTCTGGGTTCAATTCCCATATGCTCCCCCTTACCCAAATGATTTTCTGATACTGTCAACACTTTCTGAATTTTTAAAAGAAAGATGGTCAAATTTAATACAAATTAAATCATGTTTAATGTTTCCAATTAGTTACTGTATTCTTAGAGAATTTCACTGTACTTTGAAAGCTTTCCTCAGAACAATGCATTCTAAACAAAAGAATATTTTTCTAACCAAACTGCATTTTAACAATTTGGCAGCCAGGCATGGTAGCACACACCTGTAATTCCAGTATTTGGGGAGGCTGACACAGGATGATGGCCACAAGTCTGAGACCAACTCAGGCTACATAACAAATTCAAGGACAACCTGAACTACACAGAGAGACCAGGTCTCAAAAAAAAAAAAAAAAAGTGATTAACCCTACAGATTCCTTTTGCTTTTAAAATTTTATGTACTATGTACAAAAAATAAGGCTATTACTGTGCTAAGAAAGCTTATAAAAATGCAAAAAAACTTACTACACAAGTCAGACTTCAAAGTACTTCTTTAAGGAGGTACTAAACAATACACTAGGAACACAGTTAATCAGTCAAGTATTTCTGAACCTGTACTGCACTAACTACTAGGAATACAGCAACAAACAAGAGAAAGCATCTCTGTCCTGCATTGTGATTAGGGCTTAGGTACTGAAAGCACGTTATTACAAAAAAAGCCAAGAAAAAAGCAGAAGAAATTAAATGATTCTGTCCAGAAAGATCAAAGAAAACTTGGCATTGCTGTTGGTATTGAACAGGGTCTTAATACTGGTATTTTAATAAGCAGATAACAACTAAGAAGCTATTGGATCTAACAATTCCATCAGTGAATAGTTTCACCCTAGGGGTGGGGCAGAAGCCAAACAAAATTGGATGATATAGTAATAAAAGCAGCAGCAGCAACATATTATTTGAGATTTGTCACTCATGCAATTTAAAAACAAAAGCTATGTCAAGTCATCCAGCAAATAATTTATCTGAACAATGGGACAGATAAGCCCCCGCCTCCATAATCAGGAAAAAAAACCTCTCTAATCCAGAAGCACAGATAACTCAAATTGCAGGAAAAATCTACCCTAATAATCATACAACAGAAAAACGTAAATGGAGCCCAAGACTTTTTGGCCCACAATGAAAAGAACATTTCTATTCTTTTTGTTTTTGAGGGAAGGTCTTGCTACACAGTTCAGGCTGGCTTTGAACTCACAATGGAGCTCAGGCTGGCCTTTAACGGTACCATCTTCCTGCCTCAGTCTCTCAAGTGTTGGGATGAAAGGCATGTTTCACCACATCTCACAAAGAACATTTCTAAAGTGTATTACTAATTTAGAATTTTCTCTCTCTTAAATAACAAAGTATCAACAAAGTATTAAAAAAGTATCAAAATCTACCTATTTTACCTTCAAGCTTTCAAAAACCAACAGTATTTAAACATTTGATCAGTAAAGGTAAAACACACAGCTTGCCTCACAGGAAGTGACTGGTAACTCATAAAAGGCTTAACCACAGGAACAAAATATTCCCTGCCCTCAATAGCCCTCTGTTCACTACAAACAACTCTACTCAGTAGTAGTAGAAGAGCAAACATGGTCTATGAACTCCAAGATTTTTTCCAAACTGTTAAGCAACTTTTGTGAAGCCCGATTTCTCCTTCAGATGAACTAAACCAGCATGGACATGGTTCAAAGCTAGTCTCACACTTCTGAGCTTATCCAATCCAATGAAGTTAAACTTAGTTACTAGTCATATAAATGATTTGTGTTTCTGCATATTGTACTTTCAGATACTAAAAGTTATAAACAATGCAAAAAAATAAAAAAATAAAAAAAATAAAAAAAAAAATACAGCTTCTCTAACATCAATGGAACACCCATCTTTGACAAAACAAAAAAAAAGGGGGGGGATATAAATGAAGGACCACTTTGGAATGAAAAAAATATATATATAATATACATATATATATATATATAATTTAGGATAGATATACAGCTACTTTCTCTTAGTTCAATGAGAAGAAAGATTTGTACTCATATTGTTTAGACAAGATATTCTACATCTTGTACTCTGAATAAATACTATGAAGACAAAAAAATAAAAAAATAAAAATAAATAAACAATGCAAGATCTTTCACTTTCTGTGAATTATCCAGAGTAAAATTACGTACCTTTAAATCCTAGGATAACAAAAAAAAAATGACAAAAAGAAATATTCTGCAGTATTTTTAAAACAGAAATGCAATGAGATATTCTTAAATAAAAACCAGTATAAAGGCTGGCAAAATAGCTCAGCAGATTAAGCGCCTGCTTTGGCAAGTACAGAGACCAGGGTTTGATCCCCAGTCCCATCCATGGGGTGTGGTGAGCTGGTGAAAGGTTTCTGGCATGGTGATACGTGCCTGCAATCCCAGCCCTGGGGAGGCTGAAAACAGAAGAATCACTACAAGGCCGAGCTTCACAGTGAGACTCTGTGCCAAATATATAAGACAAAACAAAAGCCAGTATCATTGCAGAACAACAATTTCATTTGTATAAAAAAATTACTTTTATAAAAATATGGTCATAAAGATTTGTTTAGAAAATGGAAAGATGCATATTAGCTAGAACAGGAGAGGCGGACAGAGTTGCAGAACATAAAGACGGTTGAAGAAGCAGGACACAGCGTCACACCCCATAATCCCCAACTTTTGGGACTCTAAAACAGGAAGATCACAAATTGGAGCCCAGCTTCATTGACTTAATGAGATCCTGTCAGAAAACAATAGTGTGTGTGTGTGTGTGTGTGTGTGTGTGCGCGCGCGTGCATACGCATGCACTAGAAATAAGCTAAACACAAAGTTCCTAGATTCTATCTCCAGTGCCACAAAACACACATGCACACAAAATGACCACGCATACCTGCTGTACCACAAAACTCCGTTAACAAAAAAGTTACCAAAACGAATTATTAAGGTCAGTCTGTTGGAAAAATTAGTTATTTTCATGTGTTTGGGAACTCTCTAAGACACATCTACTCTTCAATAATAAACATAGTTGTCATCTGCATTCCTGTACACATAAAATTATGAATACAATGCAATTTTATTCCTCCTTGCTCACCATTTGCTCACTCCTTGTTCACATCTGTACATCTCTCATTTATACTTCTCTCCACACTATTCAACAGTAAATGCCAACATTCCCAATCACCACCAGTATCTATTCAGCACTAGTTATACCTAACATCAGGCCTTGCAAGCTGAAAAGATGATCTTATATTAATATTCAGAAAGCTTTACATTTAAAAGTCACTGATGGCCTTAATATTGAAGCTCAGATTTTTTTTTTTTTTCAATCATGAGATGTTCTCTATATAGGCTGACAGTTTTACCAAGATTTAAGGCTATTAGTTGGGGTGGATAGTAGAGACACTAACGCCAATATGCAAGCAAATAATACATGGGTTTATAATAAGATATGCCTTGTGCTATGTGGCTTTGTAGTACGATCTTCCTTAAATGATTTAACTGATAACAAAGGTTGTGAATAACAATTATTTGCAGAAAATGCTTAAGATTACATCTTTGCATTTGAAGAAATTTAAGCTCCATTATCTTAAAATGTATTCTAGGCCAAAACTTGTTATGTGCATGTGTTTTTAAGGGGTGAGGCTGTGAAATAAAATGTTATCCAAGCCCTCTACACTGAGCTATATGTCTTTTTATAAAAATATTTATTTTGTTACAATGAAGCACAAAGTTGTCCAGGTTGGTCTTGATCTTGTGATCCTCCTACCCCAAACTCTCTAACAACTGGGATTACAGGCAGGTGCCATGGTACCTGGCTAAAAATTGATAGAACGTAATTTTCTCCACAAGCTGCATTTGTGTAACAAGTCTGCAATGAAATCTGCAGTACAAATATTAGAAAGGATAAAGGTATTAACCATTTAGAAAGACTTACCTCATCACAGTCTCCTTCAACCATGGCATATATAGCTTTCTTGACCAAGTTAGTACCTAGAATATAGATCTGAGTATTAGTGAATGTAAAATATAATTAGCCTCTTAAAGAATCTAAATTATAAAATTCATAATAAGCAAGAAAAAAAGTCTGTTAGGTTGTATTTTGAATGCAGTTACTCTGATACCATCAAAAAAACAAAAGATACAAACTGAGAGCTCTTTTTAATTGTTTTCCTGCTGAAAGAAGGAAAAAAGAAAAAGGCAAAATATGGCATGGCCAGAACAACCTAAAACTCTTTAACCTGCCAGAATTTACTATACAACCTGTGCTGATCTTGCCAAAGCTCTGGACACAAAGTATAATGACAAGAAGGCCTGCAAGATACCTCAGCAGACTAAGTACCTGCTCAGGCAAGCACAAGGATGGGGTCTGATCATCCCTAGCACCACATGCCATGCTGGCCCCACCCCTGGGAGCACTGAGCCAGCCAATGAAACCAGGCATGGTGGTGCATGCCTATAATCCCAGCACTGGGGAGGCTAAAAACAGGAGGATCACTAGAATCCAAACTGCACAGTGAGACCCTGTACCAAATACATAAAAAAAAGTGTCAAGCCTATATGTGGGCCAAGACACTCAGTTGGCTTCTACAACATCATAGTAAGCTGGGGCACAATGAGGTCTGGCGTGTGAGTAATGTTTGAGGTATGTCTGTAAATGTCTAGGAAAATGTATCTTACATCAGGGTCACCTGACACTGTATATATCAGAAGAAAAACACTGCCAAATCTGATTCTTAAAAGACCCATTTTAGCTTGAACTTTCTTAATTTGAAACTGTATTTCTTAAGTTATACAAAAGATGTCTGAAAACCAGGATGTAATCCTAAAGCCACTTGGGTTTATGCTCTGTGAACTAGCTAAATGACTATCATTTTTAGTGAGTTTTTATCAGCTCTTTTCAATGCATCAAAGATTCATACTTCGTTTGGAAAATAATCCCAATTCATAAAAAACCTTAGTAGCTGAGGCAACAGGATCACTTATACACAGGAGTTCCAGGCCACTTGGGCAACACAGTGAGACTCTGACTCACACACACACACACACACACACACACACGAACTAGACATGACGGCCAAGGTCGGCCTGGGATACAAGTGAGTTCAAGGATAGCTTTAACTTCATAGTGAAATCCTCCCTGTCTCAAAGAGACAAAAAAAGAAAATTAAAAAAAGTAAGAAAAGAAAAACCTAGCCTTCTAATTAAATATATTTATGACAACTTCTCATGAGAGCAAAGACTGTGAAGCTGTTGGATAACACTCAAATTTAGTTTTAAAACAAGTATTTTAAAAAACTATATGGGCCGGCCAAATAGCTCAGCAGATTAAAGCACCTGCAAACTGGCGCAGGGGCCAGGGGTTCAATCCCCAAGCCTGCCATTCTGGCCCTGCCCCTGGGGTGCCCTGAGAGGGTGAATGAGACTGGGTATGGTGGTGCATGCTTGTAATCCCAGCACTTCGGAGGCTGTAAACAGGAGAATCACTATGTGTCTGGTCTAGTAGTGAGACCCTAAACACCCTGTAGACCTTTCCCGAAAAAAACACAAAAAAAAAAAAAACCCCAAAAACTATAAATTACACAACTGCTAATAACTGAATATTAGTACTGTGATCAAATACTACTTCACCCTGTCCTACTAATTAGATTTGAAACTGTCTCACTGCTATTTGTCTCTCAATAAAATTATGGAAAAAAATTTTTAAATGAAAATAATGATCAAATAATTTTTTTAAAAAAGCATTTGGGGCGTAAAAAAGAACTCAAGTGCTACTTAAGGGTTTTTTTCACATTCTATAAGGATTTAAAGTTTAGAATGTCACTGAGTGATGGAAAATTCTTGTTCCATGTTATGTCTAAGGTGTTTGATATTCAGGCAAATAGTGAGGTTAAGCACAACTGCCTCTGTTATAGGGTAATAACATCATTAAGCTTGTCTTCTGGATGGTTAACAACTTAAGTTGACAAACCAAAAATCAGAGGGAAAAAAAGGGCTACAAGGATAGCCAATATTTTGGCCCTAGTCCTTCAAGACCAGCGAGGACTCAGGACATAAGAGAACCAGCACCGTAAAATCCTGTGACTCAGTGCTGTCCCCAAGGAGATTATGGGGCAACAGAGGAAAGAGGCTGACAATGTAGAGTGTGCCTAAGGAGAGTCACCTACAGAGAAAACATTCTCTCAGGCTTTCACAAAGAACAAACTGGTCGAGCAATGGCTGTGACTCATCCAGATGGCTGACACTGATGAAAGATTTACAAATTGTCATACATGGTTTCAGTGTAAATCCTGAAGGGATTTCACTGACTTTGTCAGATACAAAACTTACATTTTTAGTTATATGGGTTTTGTTTTAATTTAGTCAAACCCATCCAGAAGAAAAATATAATCACGAGGTATAAAAAGTAAAGCTCTATTAATATGCTGAGCTGTAAAAGGCTCAAGTCAACAACTTCTGACATTTCCCGTTCTGCTGATAATCCACAACTATTATTGACTATTGGACTATATTGGGTTATTTTGCTGAATTCACCTACAATATTTGAATGGCAATGAAACACTCATCTCTAACAAATCAAAAAATGGGACATAAATGAAGGACCATTTTGTAGTGAAAAAAAATATATATATATATATACACACACACATAAGTTATGATAGATATACAGCTACTTTCTCTTAGTTCAGTGAGAAGAAAGATTTGTACTAATAGTGTTTAGATATAATGTCTGCATCTTGTGCTCTGAAGAACTAGTACAAAGACAATTTGCACAGTATTAATTATTGTAACTGTCCTACTAACCTGTTTTGAAATCGTCTCACTATTTCTTTCTCATTAAAATTAATTAAAGTTTATAAATCCAAAAAAAACAAAACAAAACACAAATACTACTTCATGAATACTCACTAAACACAAACACATCCCCGAATTTGATGTGTCTACTCAAGTGTTTCCCCACCTGATCCTCCACTATGACAAGAGCCAATACATCCTGAACACTACTGGGTTCCTCAACCAGGTTTCATCAGTGACCTGGGGAAATTTTATTCCTAGTTCTAATAAGGTGAACACTAGTCAAGAAGGGCCTACACCCTTGAAACCAGATTAAGTAAGACATGTTATGTATATGCACCCCAAACACATACTAATAAAAATCTGGTTTAAATAAAAATGTTGAAAACAAAATAATGCCCTCTAAGAACTTTTAAAAATAAAAACCTTAATTTTGTTTTACCTTCAAGTTCACGTCTACATATTTACATGTAAGTTTGTTTCAAAGCAAAAAATTGAAAATAACTTATTTATCCTTTGAGTAAAGTAATATTTTTCTTACCAATGCCATTTCTCCTGTATTTGGAATCCACAGCTAACATGGCTATATAACCTCTGCGGAACATCTTTTTGTGCATATCCAACTTGCAAACGATGGCACCTACACACTCCTCCCCTACCATGGCCTTAAAAATAAACAAATAGTTATGAAAAATATACTGTGCAATTACTCATGGAAAACAGTAACCAACCACTGGTCAGCATTTCTGAAAAGAAAAGAGAAATCTAGCAAGGGAGCAATCACTTTTCAGAAATCTAAATCCCTAACTTCTTCAAATGTTCTTATTTTGAAAACTTCTCAATATTCTTTAGAACACACATTTTTTATGCTTACTAAAGCCTACAGGACAAAACACAGTATTTCCACATGGTAAATATTCAGTACTTTATAAGTACATGAGGGGCTTACGATTACATTTATTTGTAACAAAGTCTTAAAGTTTGGGAAGGGGGGCCTGCCCCATAGCTCAGTTCTTTAAGTGGCTGCTTTGCTGGTTCAGGTTGCTGTGGTTCCATCCCCACAACTCAAGCCAGCCAAACCTGCCCTGAAGGCATTCGGAGCAAAAAAAAAAAAAAAAAAAGTTTGGGAAGAGATAATATGTTAAAAAAAATTATTTTAAACACAAAAGCCTGTCCAGCTTGGTGGCATAAGCCTGTAATCCCAGTACCTGGAGGCTGAGGCAGGTTGACTGCCTTGAGTTTGAGGGCTACCTGGTGCTACATAATCTGTTCAAGGCCAGCCTGAACAATGAAATGAGACCTTGTCTCAGAGAAAAAAAGAAAATACTATTCATTAGGTTATACAATTTTCCCATCAGCAGAGTATAAGTTTTTATAAGCTTTAATAAGAGATAAATGTAAGACATGATATACCTGAATGATAAGTAGATTATATTTAAGAAGCTCAGGAAAAGGACTGCTTATAAGTTATTCCTTAGATTACATTCAAAGACTAATAGCTGGGCCTGGTGGCACTGCTTTTAATTCTAGCACTCTGGGGGCAGGGGGAGGGGGGTGTCATGTGTTTGAGACCAGCCAGGGTAACTTAGCTGGGCTGAGTTAATGTAAGTGGGACCTTGTCTCAAAACTTAAAAAACTAATTTAAAAACTGGCTGGGGACATAGCACAATGTACATATACACACTGGGTTCAATCCCCTGTACTGCCTCCCCCTCCCCCACCAAATAAAAGTTTTGTTATGAACTAGTACCAAAACTAAATATATGGTGGTCTCACTTTGTAGGATATTTACAATAGAGGTCATGTCAAAGCTCTCAGAAAATTATAACTCAAAATAAAAGCTTTTATAAAATGTTGACTTCCTTGGCTTTCTATTACAAATATCAGCTTTTCAAAAGGATACATCTTAAAATAAATGCTAATAATTCTCCATTTTCCTTTAGATCTCCAGTGTCATCACTGCAAATGGTTTGCAAAATTTCCAACAATGACAAAAGTTTTCTAACAAAATTTGGACAGATATAAACAGGGTAAGAGATCCATTTAATGCAAAAATAATAGTTCTTGTCTACAAACTAACTTTCCTCTTCTCTTCCTCTAACCCTATTACAACAACAACAACAAAAAAAAAAAAATCAGTAATGGGTAAAAAAACTGAGTAACCAAAGTACAATTTATACCTAGTACATATTTTAACCTGAATTTGTGCTAACATTTTTTAGTCTGCCATTCCATACGTTGATCTTTTATAAAAAAAAATAAACCATGGAATCTTTTTAGGTCAGACAATTCTTTCCTCACACTAACCTAAACCAGGTTTAAAAAAAATTATTTTGAAGGACTGTTAAATTCATTAACCTATACAGCTATTTATCAGACATTTTTAGATTATGTCAACAAACCTCTCTTATTTTTCTATTTAAATCACACTAAACAACTTCCTTTCTTTTGAAAATTAAAATTCTTTCTATATTAAGACATGAAATACACACAAAAGATGCTGGGTTGAACAACTCTACTCTGACAGTATCTTTTATTCTTTCTTTTTGGAATTGGGGATTAAACCCAGGGCTGTAAGCACAGTAGGAAAGCATTATACCTCCACAGAATTTTCCGATTTGAAAATAAATCACTTCAAATATATATCTATATGTGTCTACATACACATATACATATGTACACATATGCTAAATCATCACAGACCAAATGGTACATTTAAGAGCCAAAATACAATATTGGCCTGAACTCGTAAAATATTCACACATAATATGTATCTGTGATACAAATCTGTAAGACAGATACACCTCATAGTTCATAAAGCCATCTAAAAAGGAAAAATTTAAACTACTAAACCCAATACAACTAGATAATAATTTCAAATTAGATAGGAATTCAAAAAGATCTTTGTCCTTTGATCATGAAGTAAAAAGCAAGATATGTTAGTTCATTCTTACGAGTAGACTGCTTTCCTAATTAAGAAACTGAAGGAGCAAAGATTAAGTTGTACACATCTAAAAATAAAAGTTCAATGCACTGTTATTAATAAAATGTTGTTAGTAAACAAGGCTAATAGTGAATTTTCTTCTAATAAACTGCAAATATATTTACAACCATCACTCAAGTGCTTGTGCAATTTTGCAAATAAAAATTTTAGCACAGATTTCTGAAACTCATGCTATGTATTTTTTCAAAGACATCTGAAACAAATCTTTGAAAGGTTAAAACTTAACTCTACAAGGCCTCAGTCAATAAAATAGTAAGAAATATAAATTGTGTGAAACAAAGATTCCAAAATTCAAGGACACTACAAACAGAAAACCAAAGGAAACCAGAAAGTTGAATTTAGAACAAATAAACACAAGTTCTAGATTCTATTGCTGGTAAATTTAAGAACTTTTAAAACTAAAAAAATACTATGAACTCTAAAGAGGTAAAGTTCAGAGTAACTGACAGTGCCTCACATGTGTACTCTCATAGACTTTTTACATCTGCTATATTATTAAGAACTTTAACAGTTTTGTTAATCAAGTACCAGCAATTCTGTAACATACTACATATGCCCATTACAGCTTTCCCAATGAAAACCTGCAACATTTTAGAGGGTTCTTATCTCTTGACTCATGTTTGTATGGCCAACTGCTCCTTGGTGAAGGTAATTTTGTGACACAATAGGTTTCACAAAATGGGTCAAAGTTATGTCATTTTTCAAGTTCTTACTTGTTACTATGAAAGGCCAGGAGAACTGGATCTTACCTTTACTCTCTGCCACTAAATATCTGGAGATTTAAATTTTTTCCACTCTAGTTTTCTTTTTTTTTTCCCACAGGAGAGGAGAGAAAGTTGAGCCTACTTTATCTGTAGGAGTCTTACAAATATGACTTAAAGCAAACATAAACAATTGTATTTTTAAAAAATTGAGTTCTTATGGGAAATTCGAAAAGCAAATTAACATAAAGGACCTATTTCTGAGTGGCCTCTGTTGGTTAACAATTTTCTTAAGCGCTCCAGATTCACACTTGCACTACTAAATCTTATAGACCATCTACTTGTGCATATCCCAATTTCTAGGTATTCAGAAGTTAATGGTTTTTTTTTTTAACTCAGAAATCAATGTTAAACATTGGCTATTAAAGGATAAAGTACAAATTAATTGGTGAATTGGGAGGGATTTATATAAAATCAAGGCAACATCTACTAATATTATCAGTCTAAAATCGCAGACAAGTTGAGAGACCTAGGTTAACGCCAGAACTCAAAAGTTGACTATCACATATACAAAACTATCCCATGAAATTCATAGAAAAACATCTATTTCACCCAATTTAAAATGCGGCACAATTATATACGTCTGTGGGTTAACTTACAGTGAACCTACATTTTTTAGCAATTACAATGGCATCTGATATGACATTTATAACATTTTCCAATATTCATTGAGGAAATTTATCTTATAACTTCTATTTTGATACAATGCTAAGAATTCCAAACAAAGTTTTCTAGAACAAAAAACAGTATATACAATTTTAAAACACTAAATTAAAGTTTAAGCGAAATTAACAAGATAGCAAAACTACCATTACCTAGTATAATACTTAGGTTATGTTTGCAAATATCACTAAGCTATAAAATCAGAAAGACAGCTTTACACTACCATCAAAATGAACTGCAAGCATTACTAAGTGCAACTAAGTCAATGGTAAAACAGTAACAGTGGTAGACTTTTTCTTCCCATTATAAAATATTTTTTCGCTATAAAATATTCTTGAAATTAATAAAATCCTAGAAACTGCATGAGAGAAAGCATACACCCGCAACCAATATTTAAAGGTTTTATTCAGAATGACATTGGGTGAATTTTACTATAAAGAAATTACTGGTACTGCTTACATTATGTAAAAAAATTATTCGGCTTATCTCTCAACTCTTTGATTTACATGTAGGTAAATTTTGTCAATTATATCCCCACAGTAGCCATAGTAATGGTGTTTAAGCATATCTATGACCAGTTTCTTAAAAAATAAAAGTGGTAACTAACAATTTCACATTCCACAGTTTTTATTTAACTTTCAGGACTCTTTCAGCAACCACAAGTTAAAAGCACCTTCTGCCACGGGGCCTGGAAGCAGGATGGCTACAAATGTTAACTGTCCCGCTGAAATAAAAGGAAACCTTCCACAATTACTGAAAATGCTCGGAAGATTTAATTCTCCCAAGTGACCACAGCCAAGTTTACTGACAGGCATGTTCACTAAAACATGTTCATGCCCACGCTCTTCCCTGATTACCACTGCAATTGAGAGATTAATAAGGCCTAAAAGGGAGGCTAATTAACGACGGTTAAACGTGGTTATAAGCTAATGTAAACAGGACCCGGGGACCCCTCCCTCGGCCCCCCAGAGTAACAGGCATCACAGAGGCTCGCTGCCTTTCTAGGAGTCTCGAGACAATCCAGATCAAGAGCTCTTACCTTCAAAACAGTTCCATTAAATACCTAGGAGCGCGTGCTCGCACTTTAGCACTATGAGACGCAGGGCGCATCCACTGCCACTCTCGGCCCTCACACTCCCTGCCCCGTGGCCTGCATCTCGGCTGGGCTCACCCTCTTTCCATCGCGTCCACTTACCAAGAAGCACAGCTGTGGCCAGTTGTGGATAAAATATCTATACGTATAAATGGAGTAGGGTTCGGACAGATCTTTGGTGATCAGTCTCATGATATCGGGCATTTGGAGCTCGGACTCGTACCGGACGTATCGTATCGTCCGATCCTCCCCGGGCTCGACCTCCCTGCCCGAGGGGCTCCGCAGGCTGCAGCCGGCGCTCAGGGCCGAGGTCAGCAGCCGCACCTGCTCGTCGTCGTCCTCGGGCTCGGCGCCCTCGGCCAGTCCGTTGCGGGCCGCCGCGGGGTCGCTGGCCGCCTCTTCCGCCGGGCCGGGGAGCGCAGTCCTCGCGCGGGCGGGCG